GTTTTTGTTTCCAGTCATTTAGCCTGGACGAAAAGAAAGTAAAAAAGAGACAAAGAGAGAAAGAGGAAAGGAAGAAAGGAAGGAAGGAAGAAAGGAATGAAAGAAGGAAGGAAAGATGGAAGGAAGGAAATAAGGAACGAAGGAAGGAAATAAGGAAGGAAAGAAAGAAGGAAGGAAATAAGGTAGGAAGGAAAGAAGGAAGGAAAGAAATGAAGGAAAGGAAGAAAGAAATTGTATTGTAAGATAAACTAAGTATGGGTACCACTATTACACAGGCTCTGCTGAGCCCCACCCCATGGTTGCATTAGCTGGTGGGGAGATGTACAGATCTCTTTGCAAACCCTGCACTGCTTTATGTGTAGGCAACACCTCTGGCTTGGAGAAGCTCTCTGCAGATGCTCCCTCCCGGTCACAGACTGGGAGGAGGGATTCAGAGGAGTTGTACCCAGGCAGGGGTGCAGATCACATTGACAGATCACCAATTAATTAAGATTAGAGCACCCCTCACTGCAAATAGGTAAGCAAGAGGGGGCTCAAAAAAAGTCCCTGTCACACGTCCCCCTCCTTCTTTTATACACACCCTATCACATTCTACTCCATCCATTCACACAGTCACCCTGTCACATTCAACTCCCTACATCAATATACATAGTCACCCTGTCACACTAGTCTCCAACACACAGTCACCCATCTCACTCACATTGCTGCAGCCACCTTTATATACACACAGACACAGAGATACATAGACACACAGAGACAAGGATATGCATTCCAGGCACAGTCATGGATACACATACACACACATATACAATCACAGAAGCACAAGGATACATACCGCCAGAGACACACTCTCAGACATACTACACAAAGCCAGATACACACACAGGTAACAATAGACACTGCCAGATGCACAGTGTATTGTGTGTCTGTATTTTTCAACGCATGTGTGTCTCTGTGCATCAGTGTGTTTGTGTGAGTATGGGGTTACATATATCTAAATGTGTGTGCATTTCAGAGTGGTTATACGTGTGAGTGTATCAGTGTGTGTATTTGTGGTTGTCCAAAGTGTAAACATGGCTGAAATGTGCATGTGGTATAGTATAGGAAATGTCAGAGTAATGTGGCAACAAATACGACTTAAATGTCCATTTCCCTGTTAGAATAATGTTTAGCGAATATGTTTGAATTTTTAGAACATATGTAATTGTTGTTCATTTCGTTCTTGACAGAGAAATGAAGCACTGTTAGAAGTGTAGATGACCTTTAAAACAGTAGCTCTTCCTGGGTTATGAACCCACTAGCAATATCAGAATTAACATCATCACAATCTAACATTATGATGATGTGGTATCTGCTATGTTGCTCTATAGTCCTGTTTATACTGTACAGTGAATCGATTTTGTAATGTATTAAACCTCGCTATGATATTTTATTATTGCACATTAACAAGCTGAAAGTAAAATCACACTAAGGTTAAAATAGCCAAACTGTATAATATTATTTCAGTCAACTATGCTTTTAATTCAGCTACTCTGGTTATTAATTTTACATGTATTTTGACTTCTAACTTTTAGTAAATAACTCTGTTTATTTTATTTGCAAAATGTGATTAATACTAGCTTGATAAAGGTCATGTTGTTGGACAAAACATTGCTGTTTCCCACTTGTGACACTTTTAAAAATAAAGAACACTGACACCTGAGAATGTACTGCATGTTTCTGTATTTGTATGAATGGTATGATCCAATGAAACTTCCTTTACTGTCTAGCAATATAGAGAGAAGCTGCCATTTTCAGTACATTTTCAGATAGATAATGAGGGGCCTCTATAGACTGGTGATCATTAATGGTGTATATATAAAGATGAGTTAGGCTTATGGACTAAATTTCATTTTGCATAGTAAATGAAAGCTAAAACACATACTTGATTCTGGAAATGTAATATCTTATGTTCATTATGGATCTTCTGTGTTGTAATAGTTTCTCCTCTTTCTCCTCCCTGTTGGCTGCTATTTCTATTGTGTTATACTGGTCTCAAACTTGGATGCCAAATGGAGTGGGATGGGGTGAGGATCTCTAAAGTGTAAGGAACCAAAGCACTATATTTTGTATTCCTGATGCTATATATATATATATATATATATATATATATATATATAGGTTATTTTTTACTGTTAATTCTTTTTACTATTTTTTTAATCCTCTTTTGGTAACTACTGAATAGAATCAATATATAGTGGCTGTCCCATAGTAATAAATCTAGTTTTTTCTATCAATCAACATAATAATTTAATTTTGGAAAATATGTGGATGAATAATCATGAATAAAACAAAACTGTCTTCCATTATGCATTTAGTTTATTTCATGATATGTCCATATGATGCTTCAGAGTTACAGAATTCAGATAACCCGCAGATCGCCCAAAATTCTGAAGAATCGTAATTTGTTTAAATCTGAATGCACAAATCTACTAGCTACTAACCTAATTTCTACCAATTTAATAGAGGGGTGTTTAGCAAAGTTTTGCTCCCTGCACCCCTTCCTGACTGTCATCTGGGGGCACCATCATCTCTCCCTAAGCAGCTTGATGAAGTGCTGTACTTCTGATCTTGTTTTGATAATTAGTGGCTGCTTAGAGAATAAGCTGCCTGATAAAAATTTAAAATAAAAATTACCTATTGCCCCTTTCACAAACTTTAGTGAGGGGTGGGGAAACTTCGGCCCTCCAGATGTTTTGGACTTCATCTCCCATAATGCTCTTAAAGCCATAATGCTGGCAAAGCATCAAGGGAGATGTAGTCCAAAACATCTAGAGGGCCGAAGGTTGTCCTGCTTTAGAGATACAGGACTAAATAACCCCACATGTATCTCTTCAGCCCGAAAGCCACCCTAACAACTCCTATCAATATTACCCTGATTTGAACACATACATACAGGAGAGTCTACTATTTAGGACTCTTCTCAGAAGAGTAAATAAGATTTTACCAAACAATAGAGAGTGAGGAGGCAGTAATAATGTTTGCTACCAACTGCATTTGACTGACAGGTAAATGATGATTGACTACAATGTAGTATGTATTAAGGTTCCAATATCACAGATTTTAGACAACATATTGTCTAAGTACCTTAAAATTAGTTTTTAGAAATGTGATTATCAATCCTTCTCCATGGGACCTATGGTTTAATACATTGTTCAGCCACAACATTAAGACCATTTACAGGTGAAGAAAATAGCATTGATTATTTTGATACATTGGCACTTGTCAAGGGATGGGACATATTAGGCAGCAAGTGAATTTCAAATGTTGGAAGCTCCTAAAATGGACAAACGAAAAAATCGTGACGTAAATAGTGATGGCTAGATGACTAGGTCAGAACAAAACTGCAAGTGTTGTGGGCTGTTCCTGGGTTGCAGTGGTTAATACCTACCAAAAGTGGTACAAGGTAGGACAATTGGTAAGCATGTGCGCGTGGGGAGCATAAGTTAGCATATGTGGTCTGATCACATTGAAGAGCTACTGTAGCGCTAATTGCTGAAAACTAAATGCTGACCATAATAGAAAGGTGTCAGAAGACACAGTGCATTGCAGTATGCTGTGTATGGGACTGCATAGCTGAAGAATGGCAATGGAGTGCCCATGATGACCCTGTTCACCACTGATAGCACCTTAATGGGGACTTGAAAGTTGGAACTGGACCATGGAGCAATGAAACTATTTTTTTAGATCAGGTGGATGGCCAGGTGCATGTGCCTTGTTTACCTAGGGAAGTGATGGCAGCAGGATGCCCTCTGGGCAGAAGGCAGGGCAGCAGAGGCAAAATCTCTGGGCAATGTGCTGCTGTGAAACCTTGGGTCCTGGCATTCATGTGAATGTTACTTTAACGTGTACCTCCTACCTAGAGATTATTGCAAATAATGTACACCCAAACATAGCAATGGTGTTCCCATAATTACCCCAGCCACACTGCAAATGCTCAGGATTGGTTTGAGGAACATGACAAAGAGTACAAGGCATGCCTTGGCCTCCAAATTACCCTGTCTCAGTCTTAATGAACTTCTGTTGGATGTACTGGAACAACAAATCTGATCCATAGAAGCCCCACCTCATAACTTGCAGGACTTAAAGTATCTTCTGCTACTGTCTTGGTGCCAGATAACACAGGGCATAATCAGAAGTAGTGATGTCGCGAACACAAAATTTTTGGTTCGCGAACGGCGAACGCGAACTTCCGCAAATGTTCGCGAACCGGCGAACCGGGCGAACCGCCATAGACTTCAATGGGCAGGCGAATTTTAAAACACACAGGGACTCTTTCTGGCCACAATAGTGATGGAAAAGTTGTTTCAAGGGACTAACACCTGGACTGTGGCATGCCGGAGGGGGATCCATGGCAAAACTCCCATGGAAAATTACACAGTTGATACAGAGTCTGGTTTTAATCCATAAGGGCAGAAATCACCTAACATTCCTAAATCACAATGAATATGGATTGACACCTGACATATGACATATTGACACCTTGACATATGGATTGACACCTGTCCTCAGAGCCCCTGATGCACACGGACACAGAGCAGAATAGAGACTGGTCCCCCTACATAGGGTCACTTGGCAGATATGGATTGACACCTGTCCTAATGATCCCTGATACACACTGACACAGAGCAGAATAGGGACTGTTCCTCCTACATAGGGTCACTTGGCAGATATGGATTGACACCTGTCCTCAGAGACCATGATACACACTGACACAGAGCAGAATGGAGACTGTTCCCCCTACATAGGGTCACTTAGCAGATATGGATTGACACCTGTCCTCAAAGCCCCTGATACACACTGACACAGAGCAGAATAGAGACTGTTCCCCCTACATAGGGTCACTTGGCAGATATGGATTGACACCTGTCCTCAGAGCCCCTGATGCACACGGACACAGAGCAGAATGGGGACTGTTCCTCCTACATAGGGTCACTTGGCAGATATGGATTGACACCTGTCTCAGAGATCATGATACACACTGACACAGAGCAGAATAGAGACTGTTCCTCCTACATAGGGTCACTTGGCAGATATGGATTGACACCTGTCCTCAGAGCCCCTGATACACGCTGACACAGAGCAGAATAGAGACTGTTCCTCCTACATAGGGTCACTTGGCAGATATGGATTGACACCTGTCCTCAGAGATCATGATACACACTGACACAGAGCAGAATAGAGACTGTTCCGCCTACATAGGGTCACTTGGCAGATATGGATTGACACCTGTCCTCAGAGATCATGATACACACTGACACAGAGCAGAATAGAGACTGTTCCCCTACATTGGGTCACTTGGCAGATATGGATTGACACCTGTCCTCAGAGACCATGATACACACTGACACAGAGCAGAATAGAGACTGTTCCCCTTAGATAGGGTCACTTGGCAGATATGGATTGACACCTGTCCTCAGAGACCATGATACACACTGACACAGAGCAGAATAGGGACTGTTCCCCCTACATCGGGTCACTTGGCAGATATGGATTGACACCTTGTTACAAACTGCTATTTGTAACTGGCCCTTTAAATGGCAAATTGCCCTGCTTCCCTGGGTTGTGGAGAAGCCTATTTGCCAGCCTCCTCCCGCATGACTATGGCCCCTGGGAGATTGTGAAAATGTATGCACTTTTATTTGGTGTGTATGGCCCTTTAAGACTGTCGGTGGGCGTATTGGGGCTTATGGACTCTTTATGTGACTGCTGCTGGCTCTTTCAACACCTTTTTTGGGACATCAGGAAGATTGGGACACTGCCCCTTTAAGGCCGTGTCCCCAGACTTGTTGGGGACACTGCTCCTTTAAGACGGTGTCCCCTGTGTCCCCAGACCTGGTGCAAACCCTTTGTGCCTGCCTGGCTATTTCCCACTTGGTTCAGTAAATGGGGCTTACTGAACCAAGTACCACACAGGCAGACCACCCAGAAGTGGAAGTGTGCAGGCAATTTACCTCCCAGAAGCTGCGGTTAACCAGTTACTCAGCTTGTACTTAACTTGTATTATTAATCTAAAAAATGTGCGCGTTTCCTTAAGATGCTGTACAACAGTTAAAAAATAAGTGTTTGTAAGTTACCCTTTTCACAAAAAATGTATGCATATCCAACTTGCCACAATACTGCTATCATATGTCTATAAAAATCGAGCCTGCTAAATGCTGTTGTGGCGACACAGGCACTGTTGTAACTACCTGCATACCAAAAATAAAGAATTAAAAAATATATATATATATATATATATATATTTTTTTTTTTTTGTTCGGAGTGTGAGAAATGCTTTTCAGCCGCTTCTAATCTTAAGCATCATTTGAGGAGCCATACAGGAGAGAAACCTTATTTGTGGTGTGTTTAGTATTGTTCTGATCAGTTTAATACCTTCAGCGTCTCCTATCAGTGGACGTGTATATGGCAACCATTTTAGGAACCGCACACCTGGGACGAGAGCAAGGTCACCTCGTTCAACAAGCATTAACATTTGTCCCTGGAAAACTATCCTGGACATTCTGTACAGATTTGTATGGATATGGCAGTGATTTCTGTAACAGGAGATGGAAGAAGATGCTTGGTCGGTCCTCTTAATTCAAATTTGGGGCACTTTCTTGGTCAAGCTAATGTGTGCCACCAGATAGGAAGTGGTGTGTTGGTATTGTTCTGATCCAGTTTAATACCTTCGCGTCTCCTATCGGTGGGCGTGTATATGGCAGTGATTTCTTCAACAGGGAAATGGAAGAAGATGCTTGAGTGCGGTCCTCTTACTTACTTCAAGTTTGGGGCACTGCTGGCGGTCAGGCTAATGGTTGACACCAGATCAGGGTGGTGTGTTTGAGTACTATTTTATCAGTTTAATACCTTCAGCGTCTCTATCAGTGGACATGTACATGGCAGTGATTTCTGTAACAGGGAGATGGAAGAAGATGCTTACAATTGGTCCTCTTTTTGCAAATTTGGGGCTTTTCTTGGCGGTCAAGCTAATGTGACACCAGATAGAGAGGTGGTGTGTTTAGTACTATTTTATCAGTTTAATACCTTCCGCGTCTCCTATCGGTGGTGTACATAGCAGTGATTTCTGTAACAGGCAGATGGAAGAAGATGCTTGGTCGGTCCTCCTAACTGGAGACTGTGTTGCTGCACGGGTGGCAGGTGGAGCCATTTATAAAGTACACACTGCTTTGCAGACCAGGTATCAGTGGTCAGATGGACCCTTGCCCCAACACTGTGTGCCAGACATGCCATTACTTCCTTTTGCACAGTCGAGTACAGGTTGGGGATTGCCTTTTGCACAAAGAAATTTTGGCCGGGTACCTTCCACTGCGGTGTCCCAATAGCTACAAATTTTTTGAACGCCTCAGACTCCACCAGATTGTATGGTAAAAGCTGGCAGGCTAATAGTTCAGACAAGCCAGGTGTCAGACGCCGGGCAAGGGGGTGACTTTCTGACGCTTGCAGACAACTAACTGTTATTCAATCTATAACAGTTAAAAAAGTTTTGAAGCCACAGTGCAGCACCAGAGGGCCTAAAAATTAGGCATGTACACATGCCTGAAAAATTCGGTATTGTTGCAGCCGCTGCTGTAGCAGTGGCCAGAAAAATTGATGTTTGTTTCACAGGCAGAAAGTGCCCTAAAACATGGCGGCTTGAACCCTAGTTGGTGGCGCATAAGTCACGCAAGTCAACCGGCATTCAGAGCTAAAATACAGCAGCGTGTGGACCATTTTTAGCCCAAGGCAGCTCATCTCATCAGGCCTTTTTTACATAGGGTCACTTGGCAGATATGGATTGACACCTGTCCTAGGGATCCCTGATACACGCTGACACAGAGCAGAATAGGGACTGTTCCTCCTACATCGGGTCACTTGGCAGATATGGATTGACACCTGTCCTAAGGATCCCTGATACACACTGACACAGAGCAGATTAGGGACTGTTCCTCCTACATAGGGTCACTTGGCAGATATGGATTGACACCTGTCCTCAGAGCCCCTGAAACACACTGACACAGATCAGAATAGGGACTGTTCCCCCTACATAGGGTCACTTGGCAGATATGGATTGACACTGTCCACAAGGACAAGCTGCAGACTTCCTGGCAGGGCCCATACAAGGTGGTAGAGCAGGTTTGTGATACCACTTTTGTGATCGGTGTGGTCACAGGCATGGGAGGCAAGCGCATGCTCCATGTGAACAACCTCAGACGCCTATCCTATGCCCCGGATAGACGAGCTCCTAGACAAAATGGCCAGAGGCCAGTACCTCACCACAATAGATCTGTGCAAGGGTTACTGGCAAATTCCATTAGCCGAGGACGCCATCCACAAGTCGGCATTTGTCACCTTGTTTGGCCTGTATCAGTTTAAGGCCATGCCATTCGGGATGAAGAATGCCCCGGCTAACTTTCAGAGGATGGTAGATCGGCTACTGGATGGGTTTCAGGAGTATGCCTGCGCCTACTTTGATGATATAGCCATTTTTAGCTGCTCCTGGCCCTAACACCTGACCCACATAGGAGCCGTACTAGACCGGATTAGGGAGGCCGGACTGACCCTAAAGCTCAGTAAGTGCCATATAGGAACGTGTAAAAACCTCCCCAAGATAGTAGTATGGGCCCCAGAGTGTGAACAGGCCTTCCAACAGCTCAAGACGGCGCTCATTAAATCACCTGTACTTTCTGCTCCTGATCCAACTAAACACTTTCGCGTCCATACAGACGCTTCTATGTTTGGATTGGGAGCAGTACTGAGCCAAGTCGAGCAGATGGTGGCGAGCAACCCGGGGCTTATCTAAGCCGTAAACTTTTGCCCAGGGAAGTAGATACACTGCCATTGAAAAGGAGTGCATGGCGGTGGTGTGGGCCCTCAAAAAGCTGCAACCTTACTTGTATGGACAACCGTTTACGTTACTCACAGATCACAACAAATTTGGGGCACTGCGCGTGCAATCTAATGTGCCACCAGATAGGAGTGGTGTGTTTAGTACTATTTTTATCAGTTTAATCACTGTTACGTCCCCTATCCGTTAATGTGGAGCAAGACGCAGCAGTAGAAGAGGACTCAGCCGAGGAGGTTATGGAAGAGGATGTAGAGGAGGTGGCAGCAGGCCTGCCTGCAAGTCGTGGCAGTGTCACCAACTCCTCTGCAGAGCCACGCATTCCATGCTTGGCAGCCGTCAGCAGGTTTGCCCAATGCGCAGTGTAGGTGATATACCTGCCCTGACCATGCTTTACAGACCAGGTATCAGTGGTCAGATGGACTCTTGCCCCAACATTGTGTGCCAGACATGCCATTATTTCCTTTTGCACAATCGAGTACAGGTTGGGGATTGCCTTTTGTGAAAATAAATTTCGTCCGGGTACCAATGAGTGAGTGGTGGCACTGGGCACAGTATCCACTGTGAGCCTGACACACCTGCTGGCAGACAACTAACTGCTATTCAATCTATAACAGTGAAAAAAGTTTTTTTGTTTTTAAATGCAAGCTATTATGACACCAGATATGAGTGGCACTGTAAACTGGCAGAGTACACGCTGTAGGGCTGACACAACCGCTATGAGACAACAAACTGCTATTCAATCTATAACAGTGAAAAAAGTTTTTTGTTTTTAAATGCAAGCTATTGTGACACCAGTGAGTGGTGGCACTGGGCACCGTATCCACTGTGAGCTTAACACACCCGCTTTAAGGACACTGACTGCTATTCAATCTATAACAGTGAAAAAAGTTTGTTTTTTTTAAATCCAAGCTATTGTGACACCAGATATAAGTGGTGGCACTGGTCACCGTATCCACTGTTAGCGTAACACACCCGCTTTAAGGACACTGACTGCTATTCAATCTATAACAGTGAAAAAAGTTTTTTGTTTTTAAATGCAAGCTATTGTGACACCAGTTAGTGGTGGCACTGGGCACCGTATCCACTGTGAGCTTAACACACCGCTTTAAGGACACTGACTGCTATTCAATCTATAACAGTGAAAAAAGTTTTTTGTTTTTAAATGCAAGCTATTGTGACACCAGTGAGTGGTGGCACTGGGCACCGTATCCACTGTGAGCTTAACACACCCGCTTTAAGGACACTGACTGCTACTCAATCTATAACAGTGAAAAACGTTTTTTGTTTTTAAATGCAAGCTATTGTGACACCAGTGAGTGGTGGCACTGGGCACCGTATCCACTCTTAACTTAACACACCTGCTTTAAGGACACTGACTGCTATTCAATCTATAACAGTGAAAAAAGTTTTTT